TACAGTAGTTCTATTATTGTAATTACGTAATTATTAACTTTTTAAATAATAATTATGCAAGTTTCTTTTATGTCCTTAGTTATTTGCGTAATATGTAAGAGCCTAGTGGAGTTCTATTTAATAAAATTTGGCAGTTTTCGGTGTTTCGACCTTGAATGATAAGGTGAAATTTATTATACATAATAACCAGAGGGTGTTAAAGATATGAAGAGTGGCATCAACCGATTTTGGCCATTTAAAAATAATTTGTGAAAATGTGCGCTTGCGGCTTTTGCTGATCTATATATACTTGCGGGTCTTTTTAGTTTTTTTCCTCTCGTTTTTTAAATTTATACGAAGGACAGGTGTTGCATGCCATAAGTTTCGATGCATTTCAAGAAGCCAAATATAGGAAAATAATGCAAAAAATCGCGTTTTTGTACCAGAAACTTTCAAATTTAATAATATAAAACGGATCGCAAGGTTACGAATTTGGGACAAGAGTTATTTTACGCTTCTATTCTCATTATTACGAGTGCAAACCGTAAATAACGCCGCTTCTTGCTGAAGCAGGTAGAATGTATAGTTGAAGAGGAACAGATAACATTTCTGAAAGGGGTGAAATACTTAGCTAAGATGGATAATATCTCAAGATGAGTAAGTTCTAGTTATGACATACAATCATGCTTCCATTTTTATACTACGATAAAGTAAGTTGCATCAATTTATCTTTTTTGAGGTCGTAAGGACAGGATTAGAATAGAGTCCATGTTCATCTGCCAAGAACGAAATCTTGATTGGAAAAACAGAAATTTCATTAAGTTATTGTAAATTTTTACATAAAATAAAAATTATTTTATCAGTTAATAAATATATACATATTAATTTAAAATATGATATAACGTACGTACATATTAAATCATCATTATTCTAAAATAATTAACAAATAAATTTTAAATTTGTCAGATTTATTTCTGCACATATGACTCTGTTTAACAGAGAAGCAGAGTAAATCTTTTGGATTTAATTCTTTTCTAGTTTTTTGTGTGTTTCATGGGTGTGACAGCAGAAAAAAACAGCAGTGGTTACTAAATATGGGATCCAGTTCAGACACACCACATGACTCAGTGCAAAGAATGAATCACAGGCAGACATATTTACATCAAGGCAGATGGGATACTGATTTTTGTCTTTAAAATATTTTATAGTGTCAAAATCTCAGCTAGGAATTTATAAAAATATTTATCTTGTCAACTAAAATTAATAACTTTTTATAGCTGTAAATGTAAACAGGTTGAGAAAATCTTTAAAATGTCAAACTATTTAAAAATAAATAAATAGTTGGCTTCATAGCAAATAAATATTAAAACAAATCGACTGAATTATTAATATTTAATTGGAAGTTTTAGTTATCTTACAATATAATGTAAGAAAAGCTTTATGACAATATATTTTCTAACATTGCATTAATTAACATTGAGAAGACAATGATTACTTCAGTAATAAGTATAAAATACAATTTTGGTGACATAATATAACAAAATAATATTAACAATTATAATCTAGAAAAACTTTTAAAAGTTTCTTTTGATACAAAGGCAAATTCTAATTTAATCATATACTACATCTTCACAGTATGAACACGTATTAGGTTTCTCTCAATAGGTTTTAGTAAATAAATATAAAATTATATTAAAATTATAGCATTACTTAACCCTTTGAGTATGTTTAGTACATATTCAATACATTAAAAAGTGACTTAAATTCATAGAATATTCTTAAATAATTATACACTCTACAAGAAAAGAAAAAACAAATATTTCTTTAATGTGACATAGCTGAAATTAGTGCAATTTCAGTTAATTAGTCATTTAACTCTCAATCACTACTTGAGCCAAACATTTGTTTACATTAGACAAATGCCAAATATATGTACTAGTTTCTCAAAGGGTTAATAAAGTTATGAAAGCAAACAGCTTTTTAAAATTCAAAATCTACAGAATATAAAATTAATACATGAAATTTTACAAATATTCATAATTTATATGGATAACAAAGTATTTATAAATTTCATTAATGTTTTTTTAACATAATTCAATCAATTTTTCTATTATTATACTAAAAGGAAATGATTTCGTATTCAAAAAATGTATATAAAGTTATTTTCCTGGAAATTACACATTTATTCCCTGGAAATAAACGTTGTAACTAAAAAAGCGACATTGCGCGTTATACACGGGTTACTTGACATTAACCAGCGGCAACGCGTGCTGCATTAGAATCTCGATCACATCATCAAACTTGTTATTTTACTTAATTCGAATTAAGACGAAACTGTTCTAAGTTTTAAACAGAGCGTGCAATCCCGTTCGCAACGTTAATCATCTGTAATTAATTATTTTTTAAACATCGTTTTGCATTTAAGAAATAAAAGAGTACTGTGAAAACGGGCGCGCAAAATGTTTAACTCGACCGCCATATTTATCTAAAACTGTTTTCGTCTTTAGTATATTTGTTTAGCAAATAAAGCGAAGGAAATTAGCATAGTTATATGCTCTCTTGATAAATGCCGCTTCAGATAAGATCGGATTCACTCACACGAAAGATCAAAGTACCGTCGATGCACACTTTCCTGAACATTTTTCCAAATAATTCTGAAATGTGATCGTATCGAGAAATCTCTTTCCCTCTCTCCTAATATGTAAAGAAATGAAATCAAGCGAAAATCAATTACACTTGTTGGGGTTTGCTAAATATTCAATTAAATCCACGCTTAACAGATCAAGAAATTCGTAGTTTTTGGGCAAAAACCTATAATAATAAAAATTAAATTTGGGTTAAGATTCGTTTGGTGTCTCGGGAATTACACAGATGATTCGCTTTTCAGTAGGTCAGTAGTCCATTCTGCTGACCACCATCTGTCCTTCACAATATCAATACGTCAACAGGAAGGGTATAATGTCGACGAATGTGGCCAAGGTTAGAAGTTTCACAGGCTGACGGTTCTCACCTGGCATGGTCCACTCAGGTGGAAATGGCTAGCTAGTCAAGGTTCAAGGACGTTCAGTATTGACAGCTGCCTTGCTGCTAAGTTCTTGAAAGCATTATTATTATTACTTTTTTTTCAATTTTTTGTTTTATTGTTTTAATCATGTCACTACAGTAGTTCTATTATTGTAATTACGTAATTATTAACTTTTTAAATAATAATTATGCAAGTTTCTTTTATGTCCTTAGTTATTTGCGTAATATGTAAGAGCCTAGTGGAGTTCTATTTAATAAAATTTGGCAGTTTTCGGTGTTTCGACCTTGAATGATAAGGTGAAATTTATTATACATAATAACCAGAGGGTGTTAAAGATATGAAGAGTGGCATCAACCGATTTTGGCCATTTAAAAATAATTTGTGAAAATGTGCGCTTGCGGCTTTTGCTGATCTATATATACTTGCGGGTCTTTTTAGTTTTTTTCCTCTCGTTTTTTAAATTTATACGAAGGACAGGTGTTGCATGCCATAAGTTTCGATGCATTTCAAGAAGCCAAATATAGGAAAATAATGCAAAAAATCGCGTTTTTGTACCAGAAACTTTCAAATTTAATAATATAAAACGGATCGCAAGGTTACGAATTTGGGACAAGAGTTATTTTACGCTTCTATTCTCATTATTACGAGTGCAAACCGTAAATAACGCCGCTTCTTGCTGAAGCAGGTAGAATGTATAGTTGAAGAGGAACAGATAACATTTCTGAAAGGGGTGAAATACTTAGCNTTCTATAAATAATTTATTTACAAATGCATTGGTAAATAAATTAATTATAAATTCCATACCATCTGGATTTAGATTATTGAGTTAGAACAATTAATTTATCTTTTTGTTTTTTGAATACTTGAATTATTCAGTATTACTTAATTACAGCAGCAAAATGTTTTCATTGTAACAACTATTGCAAGACAAGTAGCAATCTCATCCATAAATGTAACAGTAATAAATAGACTCAACTTTAACCATCAATAAATGATATTAAAACATCTAAAATCCCAATATTAAAATTGTTCCCATTATCATTAGGTCTTAATAAACTTATTCAGTAAATATGCTACAGGATAAAAAAAGAAATAACACATCAATTGCAGTAGCATAATTAACATAACTGTAAAACTAAACAATTTGTGTATGTATATATGTATATATATATAATGTATGTATGTATGAATGTATATAGAAAAAATTCATTATATTTTCTGAATATGCAGATTTTTCTTTTGCAAAGAAAAATAAAAATGCTTAAAAAAATCCTAAAAAAATAAATTATACAAAAGCTATCATTATTTTCATTATAATTAAATATAACAAAATAAACTTTTTTATCTTAGTTTTTCATATTAGAAATTTACAGCCAGCAGATTATTAATAATCTTGCAATTATTATTCATATTCTTTATTGATTTGATAAATGATGAAATTATATAACATATTTTAAACTATTTCAGTACATAAGCCAGTCTAACAACAATTTTTATATCATGATATGCATTTAATTGTTAGATAATTGTTTAACTGCAATGTTTATAAGTATCATCAAAAATATTTTGTCATTCAATTAAACAAAGTATTAAATTATTACAAATAATTCAATTTTAAATTAATCAATAAAGCATTATTAACACTCATTACATAATAGTTTTATTTTAAAATCTACTTAAATATGTGAAGACTTAAATTGAAGACAAAAAAATTATCACAAGAAACAAAGTTTGATCTATGGCAGTTATAAAAATTTTTCATAATTCAGAGGCACATTTATTATATGAAAATCTGTTTTAGGGAATAGACACTTCATAGCACAATACTTTTATTTAAGTATCCAATTAAGAATTTTATAAACTCATATCACACAAGTTACAAGAGCAGTTTCATAAAATTTATCCACCTATTGTGGTTATGTAGAGAAATGTAAGAAAAATCATTTAAACAGACTTTATTTTTTTAAAATTCTATAATATCTATTTTCCTATCACATTTAGCAGCTTTATACAGAAGCTATATTTTTTCCTTTTGTTCAAAAATAATTTGTGAGTTAAAGTATGAAATAACTAAATTCAGTGTTTTTTTTTTATACAAGCAATTTCTAAAAATGATGCATACGTATTTACTGTCTAAGCATGTGCAAATATATTGAGAAAATTATATCACTTTTTGTAAATTTCAACTGTTGTCATATAATATATATATATATATATTTATATATTTATATTTTTATTTATTTATTTTAGTTATATGTAAGATATCAAGCTTATATTAATCAAGACTTCCAATCTCATTTCAATATTCAAATGACTTATCTAATTTGCAGTTATAAAGACTTTCAAGGAACCTTTAATAAATTTAATACTTTCTGTGCTTTTTCACAGATATTTGAGTTGCTGTGATCTGTTAAAGTTGTTATATCATCACAAATGTTTAATTTCTGCATTTCCAATTTCATCATTTCTAAAAATAAAATATTAATACTATACTTTGTCATCTTATGAATACATTTATTATTATTTTTAAAAATTAATATTTTAAAAATGTTTATATTGAATAAATATCAAAATTCCATACCTGAAGAAGCTAAAACAACATATAAAGCTAAGAGTTTATCAAGTATATCCACTGAATCATTAGAATGTTTTAACAGTTGATGTGCCATTTTTAATAGTTCGACTTCTCTCAACATTTTTTCTGCTTCAGCTAATTGTAGGGAAAAATTAGCAAAAATAAATATATTTTAAAAATTATTTTATAAATTATTACTACAAGAACATTTAATATTTAATATATATATAAATTAAAAGTTTTAGCATTCAAATTATTACATTTTCTTATATTAATAATAGTTAAATGATTTTGATATACAACTAAATATAATCATTCAATTTATTTTATTCTTTCAACAATAGAATTGAAACAAATCATTCTGGGTAACTTTAATTATACAACCAGTATTTTCTATGTAGTCTGTCAAAATAGGAAGAACTTCAAAAAGTTTATTTTGGCATCTAGACAAATGTAAGGGAAAAATAGGTCACAGTCCTTGAAAATGCTGTTACAATTTGTTATTTTTCCAATAATGAAACATATTTTAATAAAATGAAGTTTTCATAAATATTTTAAACACTAATATTAATTAATAAATAATAATATTATTATTAATTAAAAGCAATTAAATAAAAATCATAACAAAACATAATGAAAGAAATTTATTTATTTTGTAAAACATATTAATTTAGACATTTTTAACATAAAATAAAATTTGTTAAATCCTGAACGTTTCTTATTAAATATTTACCTTAATCTAATAACATGCTATCTTTAATGAGAGATAACTAGAGATAATACTGAAGAATAAAAAATTTGAAAAAATCTAAAATTACAACAGATAATGAGTTCAAAGTACAACAAATACATATTGTAATTAAAAAAATTATTATACAGTAACTGATATGACTTATGAATAATTTCAAAACTGTTGCAACGAAATATAAATAAGTCCTTTTAAAATATGTTTTGTTTTGAATATTTTAAAATATTTACTATAATTGTCTGTTTAAAGAATTAATACTTATATATGTTTTAGTAAGTATCTGTTATCTTTAGTATTATTAAAGATAACAGATACTTAATCTCTCTGAATTACAAGAACATATTTTAAAAATAATTTTAAGTGAAATTAATTTGAAAAATATTTAAGATATTTGTTGTCAAAATATTTTATCATAACAGGAAATTTAATTGATAAACATATGAAATGAATATTTATATTTATCTGTTTTATATATCTTTTCTAAACTTGTTTTACATATATTTAACTATATTGAAAAATAACACAAAAAATGTACAAGCTTTAACTTTTTTTAATTTTCAGATTTGAATAATTTTAAATATGCATTCACATAATCAAAATATTAAATATGTGCTACAAAATAAGAAGAATGTTTGCAAATTTAAACATTGCAAATTTATGCATTGTAATAATTTTCAAATTGTCAATAAAATGAAATATTAATAAAATTTAAAATATTCTTTACTTAAAAATTTTTATACATTATGTTTCTAAATTTATTTTTAAATTTAAAAACTTAATCTGAAAGTACAATAAATTTNATCATAAAAGCTTATAAAAAATTACAAACAATAGTGAAAAAAAATAAATTTTATCCTACGCACAAGAAAATACAAATTTAAATATGCATATTTTAATTATTGTAAAGAGATAAATCAAACAAAATCAGCACTAATATTATGCATTAACAAAAATACAGTCCAACTAAGATTATAACTAGATATTTTGATGAAGAATACACGAATCTTTTAAGAAGCTACTATTCTAGAAATAAATTACATAAATCTATTTCTATGTACAATCAAAATTTTATTGTATTTTACCTGTTTATAAATAGTAACCTGAATTTCTTTATAGAGGAATTATAGGGAGTTCTCAAATTATGTGTTTGAAAGACATGATTTTAAAATGATGTAACAGAAAAATCAGTATACGTTGCTTTAAAATCTATTAATGATTCAAAATTATAAGTATAGTATATAAAGCACACTTATGTTCTTTGATTGTTAATGGTAATCTTACATGACACATTGTTCAGCAACACCAACCATTTGAAATTTGTGCAATGAATACCTTGAATTATAATTAAATTCTTCAACTATTCTCTTGATGTGGTCTGTGATCACTGATGAGTTGATACAAAATTTTCCTTAACCTACTTTTAGTTTGAAGTAGAAATCATGCTATGAATAACAAATAAAATTTTAAACTTAAAATGTTGAAATAGAGCTAAATTAAGTCTAATAATTCTCTTTTTTGTCTATGGATATCAGCTCTTTTCTTCCTCCTTCCTTCCTTCTCAATTTATACCTTAATTTCACCATCTTGTGTTTTCAAGGACATTTCAAGAATTACCTTTTCAGAAAACTTTTTATTTGTTCTTAATTTTAGCTTATCCAAAATATTTTCATTTTATTGATGTTAAATGTTGTAAATTGAAACTATTTATTAGTATAGTATATCCCATCATTCATATCTTTATTGTTAGTAGGGTTAAATTCACATGCAGAGAATGCAACTGTTACATTTATAATTAGTTTAAATGGCAAAATTTAGTTCAGTTATGTATAACTGAACTAAATTTTAAAACGTGTGTGACTTCCATATATAAAACGTGTGTGACTTCCATAGAATGAAATTCTTGCATAATTTGAGAACTCCCTGTATATAAATTTTTTTATGTATATACCACAGCAATTTTAATAAAAATACTACAAAATAATATTTGCATCTATATATATTGTTTGTTTATATTTTATATATATATGAATTATTTTAAGCCAAATTTATTTTAATTTAATTATTTCAATGCAATTCTTAAAATACTTTTTATTGTATTTCTTATATCATGTTAAAAAAATATGAATAAATAATTTAAAATTTAATTTTCTAATACTAACACAAACATTTTAATATTGAGTTTTTTAAGTTTTTATTGTTCATTCATAATAAAATTTGAATTCTTAAATTCTGCAATCATCATTCAAAATTGAAACTTACACAATACATCAGAGGCCACAATAAATAATGCAGTAAGGGCTTCATTTTGCATGACTTCATGCTCAGAATTCAGCATATTAACAAGATATGGAAGAGCATTTTCTTTTAGCAAATTCATTAATACTGTTTTGGAACTGCAATTTTTTACTAGCCAAGCCAATAATCTTGTTGACTCACCTGTATGTTAAAGTAGATAAAGATTGATTATTCTTAATATTCAAGCAAAGAATAAAGTATTCGTTAACATCTAAACATTTCATTAATTTATTTGGAATCAGTAGTCTTAAGTTTTAGTAAGTTATATTAGTTTAGTTTTTAAATTCAAATAGAAGTAAGAAATATTTTTATTGAAACTCAATAAATCAATTAATGTTTCTATTTAAAATTATTAAACATATTTTCATCTATTTATTTGCTATTAAATATAAAAAATTAATACCCTTAACACCAGGATGATCTTCTGTTGTACACCAACCAATTAATCTTTGAATAAATGGAATGTTTTCACCTAAACTATTAGCAATTTTATCTGAAATTAAACAATAATAGTTACTAATTTGAGACTAAAATTTTAATAATTAAAATGTGGATTGACACACAGAAAATGAAAGGGAAAGAACACCAAAGAAAAGTACATATAAACACGTCTTTGGTAGTTTTGGAAAAACTGTGCTGGCAGAGGAATATGTCTGAATTCTTGGAAAATTTAGACAAAGAGAAAGCTATCTATTGTATCATAATTGCAATTTAAAACTAGTATATAACCTGCCCCATTGCATAATCTAAACCCACTTTCAAATTATCTTTTAAACAAGGATAACCTGAAGGGTATCCACACAAAATTACAATAATAATAAAGTTGTTAATTAATTACCTTATTTAATGTTAGCTGAAACGTTTAAAATTTTTTTTAAGACAAAATTCTGTTTTGGATTATCTTAAATCTCCTATAACAAGTTTAAAGTAAAATTTTTAATTACTTTTCTTATAGTCATTAACAATCATTAAGAATTTATTGGAAAGATTATGAGAGGAGTTGAATATTGTAAGTTCCAACATCTGAAGGAAGCCTAAGAAAAAAATAGCACTGCCTGAAATACATTTTTAATTTTGTTTTTGGGGTTTATTATATCCTCACAAACAACTTTTCCATTGGCATCATGGATTATTAATTAGGCATTTTATCAAGATAAAAATTTTAAGGGGCCAATTTTATATTTGACTTTGCAATGGCTTTTGCCATTGAAACAAAATGATATATCAACAACTACAATCAAAAGATATAGTAATGGAAATATGACTGTATTTAAAAATTCCAGGTATCCTGTATATATAACTTAATATGTTTACAGATATTATAGTAATGCAAGTGCTCTCCTATGTATGAACAGGTTCCCGAGATTTTGACAAAAGTCAAAAATCAAACTAGAATATACATTTATACACAGAATAATCACTTATTGTTAATATTTGCTTCTTCAATATACATAATACATTATGCTCATTTGCCTGCTTGCTATTGCTTAGTAGTGGGTGTTTCAAATGCACTTTTTTCACCTAACACATTTAGTTTTATAATTGCGGTTGAATTTCCATGGTAATGAAGTGACACTGCTTGCATTTCTCTCCACTGCTAGATTTACTATTACATTTTGAACACATTTTTGAAGTAGTAATCATAAAAGTTTATAAAAAATTACAAACAATAGTGAAAAAAGCTATTATCCCAATGTTACCAACTCCAATGCTGCCTCACAAGCAGCAAATACTAATGTTAGATCTTCAGAATTTGCCAAAAGAAAGCCATACAAAAAATTATGATATGCAATACAAATAAGCCTACATTAATTATTGCTGTCTAAAGACTGACTTTAATGCCACCCCACAAGTGGTAAGAGAATTTCAGAATTCATATGAAATTTACATTTTAGACATACAATCAAATTGTTTGTAAATATAAAAGTTCGTAAGTTGAATGTTCATAAGTAGGGATGCATCTGTATTTCTATCAAGTGATTTGGTGAAAAATTACATTATTTCATAACAAAAATAAAAAATAAAATTTAAAAACATATTTTTATTTATCCTTGCAGCTTAAACTTTTATAGAGCTTAAAAATACATAATATTTGATTTCTTAAACGAAAACATTTATTGCTTTCATGATTGTTAGATTCAATAAATTTGTATTCTTCATCTGTATGAGAGTGAAGAGTATTTTTGCCTTACAGAGTAAAATAATATATTTACTCTGTAAGGCAAAAAAAGTTATATGCCAATTATATTTTTATAATATATATCAAATATATTATAAAAATCAAATGAGCAAACCAAATGTACAAAAAATAGTATCAGATGCATCACATTAATCAAATCAGCCATAGATACACCAGTGTGTTTCAGCACTAAAATCTGACCAAAGAAGGAAGAAGATGCTACCTTTATATTTGCAAGTTGCAATAACTGAAGTTCATGATGTACCAAAGACAGCATATTTTCAAAAT